TTATATATTTATCTGTATATGATTTAACAGTTCATTTCTTGTTATATATCTAATTATCTTTATAAATAAATATATTAAATTATCAGCAATTTGGTTTTATCTCTCTAGAGAACCCTTTCTAACACATTTGGGCATCACATTAAACTGTTTGTGCTTAGCAGGGTAGGAAGTATTTTCTGGGAATGGGCATTGTTAGCTAGAGCAGTATGGTATTTAAAGACTGGCCCTACTCTTTTTTTATTATTATTTTATTGGGGGCTCGTACAACTCCCATCACAATCCATACATACATCCACCATGTCAAGCACTTATGTACATTCGTTGCCCTCATCATTCTCAAAACATTTGCCCTCCACCCCAGCCCTTAATATCAGTTGCTAATTTTCCCCCTCCCTCCCCACAACCCCCTCCCTCATGAACCCTTCATAATTCATAAATTATTATAGTTTTGTCATAAGTTACACTGTCTAACACCTCCCTCTGCCCCCTTCCCTGCCGTCCATCCCCCAGGGAGGAGACAATACTTAGAGTCTTGTAATCGGTTCCCCCTTTCCACTCCACACTCCCTTCACCCTCCAGGCATCGCCCACCCCCACCCCCCACCCCCACTGGTCCTGAAGGAGTCATCCACCCTGGATTCCCCGTGTTTCCAGTTGCCATCTGCACCAATGTACATCCTCTGGTCCAGCCAGATCCGCAAGGCAGAATTGGGATCATGACAGTGGGGGGCGGGGGGGAGCATTTAAGAACCAGAGGAAAGTTATATGTTTCATCACTGCTACCCTGCACCCTGATTGGCTCATCTCCTCCCCACAGCCCCCCAGCAAGGGGGTGTTCAGTTGCCTACCGATGGACTTTGAGTCTCCAACTCCGCACTCACCCATCTTTACAATGATATGATTTTTTGTTCCTTGATGCCTGATGCCTGATCCCTTCGACAGCTCATGGTCACACATGCTGGTGTGCTTCTTCCATGTGGACTTTGTTGCTTTTGAGCTAGTTGGCCGCTTGTTTATCTTCAAGCCTTTAAGACCCCAGACGCTATATCTTTTGATAGCCGGGCACCATCAGCTTTCTTCACCACCTTTGCTGACTGGCCCTACTCTTATAGTGTCTGGCGAGGCAAGGAGATATAGCCCTGATGCCTTTGGCTTTAACCTACGCCACATCACTACAGAAGAAAAGGCCTGGTGATGTGCTTCCTTAAAGATTCACCCCCCAAAAATCTAAGAAGCTCATTTCTACTCTGTGCCATATGAGGTCTCCAGGAATCAGAATCAGCTGTGTTTGGTTTTATTATTAGTATTTTATCTGTTAATTACTCACATTTGTCAATAAAGTAGGCCCTGGTGGCATTTTGAGTTAAGAGTTGGGCTGCTAACCACAGGGTCAGCAGTTTGAACCCATCAGCAGCTCCGCCAGAGAAAAATGAGACTTTTTGCTCTTGTAAAGATTCACAGCATGGGAAACCCTGTGGGGCAGTTCTACTTTCTCCTGCAGGTCACTATGAATGGTCATTGACTTGATGGCAGTGAATAAGTTTTCCTTAGAAAATGAAAAATTTGCCCTAAGAAAAGATTCATTGCTTTTTAAATGAGCTAACATGATAAAGAACATGCATGTCCTATAGTTGGGATAAAAGAAAAATCACTTGTCTGTAGAAAACTTTTTTTCTCTTTCAAATATTCATAAAAGGAATGGTTTCTTTCTTTATATATATAATTTTATTGGGGGCTCATGTGACTCTTTTTAAAATTATCATTTTATTGGGAACTTGTACAACTCTTATCACAATCCATACAAACATCCATTGTGTCAAGCACATTTGTACATTTGTTGCCATCATCATTTTCAAAAATTTTCTTTCTACCTGAGCCCTTGGTATCAGCTCCTCATTTTTCCCCTCCTGCCCCACCCTCCCTCCCTCATGAACCCTTGATAATTTATCAGTTTTCACCCCCTTTCTCCCCTCACCTTCTCCTTACCCTCCTGGTGTCACTACTCTTATTATTGGTCCTGAGGGGTTTATCTGTCCTGGATTACCTGTGTTTCCAGCTCTTATGTGTACCCATGTATATGCTCTGCTCTAGCTGGATTTGTAAGGTAGAATTGTGGTCATGATAGTGGTGGGGAGGAAGCATTAAAGAACTAGAGGAAAGTTGTATGTTTCATTGGTACAATACTGCACCCTGACTGGCTCATCGCCTCCTTGTGACCCTTCTGTAAGGGTATGTCCAATTGTCTACAGATGGGCTTTAGGTCTCCACTCCACACTCTCCGTCATTCACATTGATAGGATTTTTTTTTCTCGGTCTTTGATGCCTGATATCCGATCCCATCTACACCTCATGATCACACAGGCTGGTATGCTTCTTCCATGTGGACTCTGTTGCTTCTCAGCTAGATGGCCACTTGTTTATCTTCAAGCCTTTAAGACCCCAGATGCAGTATCTTTTCATACACGGGCACTATCATCTTTCTTCACCACATTTGCTTATGCACCCATTTTGTCTTCAGTGATTGTGTCACGATGGTGAGCATCACAGAATGCCAGTTTAATAGAACAAAGTGTTCTTGCATTGAGGGAATACTTGAGTAGAGGCCCAATGTCTGTCTGCTACCTTAAAAGGAATGGTTTTGGAACACGTCTCACCTTAGAAAAATATCAGTGGTATTTATGTGCTTACCCACCCCTCCCCAAGTGTTCTTAAAACTTGTTGTTTCCAAACTTCATACTCATTAGCAAAAAAAAAAAAGTATTGCACTTTCCCATATGTGTTTCGTACTTATAAAGTATTTGTATTCAGAGGTGTCTCAGAAGGCAAGCCTGGCAAACTGCTTCTCAGGGATCAGAGCCTTGAAAACCTGGCAGCA